TTGGCGCAGCCAAGGGCAATTGGGCTGATGATCTCCCAAAAGTTCTATGGGCATATAGAACAACTCCGAGAACCTTTACTTCAGAAACACCCTTCTCGCTAGCGTATGGCTGCGAGGTGATGGTTCTAGTGGAAGTTGGAACTGGTTCACTTCGGAGGAAATTTTTTAATGAGGCAGACAATGAAGCACTCTTACAAGCAGGTCTAGACTTGGTTGAAGAACACCATTACAAAGCTCGGTTAAGGATAGCATCATACCAGCAGTGGGCAAAAAGATTCTTCGACTCTAAAGTCAAAAGAAGTGACTTTCAAGTTGGCGACCTAGCTTTGAAAGAAGTCCTTCTGGGTATTGAGACCTAACTAGGAAGGTCCATATCGCATCGCTAAGGTAATACGACCTAGAACGTATCACCTCAAAAGGTTTAGCAGTTCTGAAGTGTCGCGGGCTTGGAATGTTGAACATCTTCGTCCTTATTATTATTAATTCCGAACTCGTTTATAGCTTTAATCATTTCTTTTTTACTTGTAAAGTTTTCCTTCTTGTAAGTATTATGAATAAGATTGTTCCACTTCTTCTCGAAGAGAAACGTGTGTCGTGATCTCAAGTCTTTTTTAATAATATTGTTCTTTATAACATTTTACAAGTTCAATGGTCAGTTAAGTTATATTTGTTTTGTGAAGTGCTTAAGTTATAAAAGTACTGTCACAAGTGGCCAAAAGTTTCTTTTATATATCAAGCAAATGTGTACAAAAGACAACGAGGAGCTACAAAAGTTAAGCTGAAAAAATACTAGAACAGAAAAGAGAGCAATCACTGGTCTTCGTTTCCAGGCCCCCCGGGCACGACCCCCTGATCCTCTGGACAATCATCAACCTATGGATCGTCCACTCAATCTTCGAGAATATTCATTTCTAACTGATCATCTTTCGGAAGAGGTTCTTGTTCCTCTTGTTGCTCGACCTTTTCAGCTTGGAGCATGGAAACAAGAATGGATTGGTATTCGTCCATTTTTGGAGATGTCCATTTTTGGATTCCTCGGTCGCAAGCTATAAATAGCTTGTATTACCCAGTGAGCAGCTTTTTTCTCGAGCTCGAGGCTTTGTCGCTTCATCTGCTCAGTCACTAAAGTGACTCACCCCTGAAGCAGCTCGAGGTCTACCTCCATCGCCCTCTTCTATTTTTTGGAGTTCTCCCACAACTGAGCTCAGTTCTCCTCCGCCGCCTTTGCGCGATCGGTGCTCACCTTTAGCTCATTTTCTCTCTCGCTCAACTCTTTGATGAGCCGCGCCACTATCCGTTGGAGCTTCCTGTTGTCCCCGTCTCTCTTTTCGAGCTCGACCTTCTGAAAGTCCATAGTCTGAAGAGCAGAATCTCTCTCTACCAAGTACTGATTTGCCTGGACGCGAACCGTTTTTGTTCAACATCCACGACCATGAGATCCTGCTTTAGCTTGGCATTCTCCTCTTTCAGCTCATTGAGTCTGTTGGTAAAGTCCATGTCAATCTTCTGCTAGGCTACGATAAGGGCGAGCAGGGACTGCATGGGCAAAGAAACAAAATTAGTTTCCTTTTCTAAAGATATAAAAAAAAAAGGAGAAAAACTTGAGAAATCGACTGGTATTAGAAAGTTCTCGAAGAGAACAGGCTACTTCACTTAACTATGCAGCTGGAGCATGGTGGCCACCATATCTGTAAGTCGGGAAGCCACAATGTCCTCAAAGGCCACAACAAGTTGGCATTCTAACAGGGTATACACTATCAACTGCAAGTGCTCCAGCAATTTCCCTAAAGAATCCAACATAAACAGGTATGGCCCCGAGGGGGTAGGTACATCTTCGACCCGTTGCTTGCTTGCTCTCCTCTAGGCAGCCGTGGTCGCTCCCTCTCCCCTACGCGAGCTCCCAAGGGCCATCGAAGTGTTGAGGGCACCCCTCAGGGGTATTCCTGAGCGAATGGCATGGTAAGGCTGAGATCTCTCTAGCAGCATCCCAAAGCCCTCTAGCTCTGACTCTAATTCCTCCTCAGTGGGCAGTTCTTTCCTTTTCCTAGTCTTCTGGCCCATAGTTTTCTGTTTCATGGCGCGAGTAGCCACGAGCCTAGGAGCTTTTTTGCGTCGCTCCATGGATGGTCGTCTTTCGACACCAATATGTATCCCTCTTGAAGGGATATCACCGGGGGTCGCCTCAGTTGGCTCAGTCGGGTTGACCCGGGGGAATACAAACCGCCTAGCCTTTGTCGATGGCTTCAAAACCTTTGGTGGCATGGTCACTGCACGCCATGAAAATGTGTTAGCAAAAAGGTCATCTATAGTAAAAGGCTAAAAGTTCTTCTGAATACGAAGATAATTACAGGCTGGAGCTTCCAAAGAGGCCTCGAGATTGAAAAAATCGTACTTCCATAGGTTAGCAGTGGTCACGAGCAGTCTTGCATCGTGACTCTAATCGGGTAAACAACCAAACGCCTCGATGCGGCTGAAATTCGCTAGAGCGGACAACTTGGTCGTTTTGTTCCCTGTGAAAAAGCAAAAATTCCATTAGTCTTGACTACCAAAAGAAAGTTAAAGGAAAGGATAGTCAGTTTGGAAATTAAAAGGCAAATAACCTACTCGGCTCCCTAAATTTACAAACGCCATCATACTCGAAGAAGAAATATTTGGTGTCGTAAGCCTCAACGTTGCTAGGGTAACCAAATATCCCTCCCTCGATCGTAGATCGCTTTGATAGGTAAAAAGAATCTTTGTCCTTGATTTTCTTTAGATAGTAAGTGCATGCGAGTTCCAACGCTGTTAACTTGCCAAGTACATGTTCGCGGCATGCGATATAAATGGCAACTACTATCATATACGGGCGTTAATTGAAATGGCGCGACCTCGAAGTGGTTGAGGATCGACCTGATGAAGGGGTGAAAGGGTATCGTCACCCCGCATTTGAAAATTGCTTCTGAGATCGTAGCAATTCCCTCTGAAGGGTCCTGAGCAGTGTGTTACCTGTGCCGGTAAACGTTTACGTTGATCGCAAACTGATCTATTGCCTTTTGAATTTTGTCCGCAGTGGCTGCTGATAGTACCACCTGTGCGGGACCTATTGAGGTGCCCGAAGACTGTGAGCTTGTCCTTTCGGCTGCTCTTATCTATGAAGCATCCATTGCTCCTAAAGTCTAAAAAGGTACGACACGTGGAGGTGACTCGGTCTCTGTACATAGTGTTTCGTACGACGACTTACAAGAATAAAGACCCTAAACATCCTTGAGAATGGGTTCCCAAATATTTGTGCCCTTGGTTTTTAACTTTTAAGAGTGTTCCTTTTTTAACACTATTCAAGAATGTGCATCGTGTAAGTTTACTAGACGTTCATACCAATGTTCTGAAAACCAGACGGGACAATGACCCGTTCAAGGGTGCGATTTTCGGTTTGACCGGTTGGATCGGTCGGTTGGACCGTATTCTATACAATTACATTTTAGTCCCTAAAGGTTTGAAATTAATCAAAAACACTCCTATAATACTCCCTTAAGGTTTGAAATCTGTCTAAAACACCCTGTCACGCGAAGATTCTGGTGAGTGGTGGCGGCAACGACGATCAACGGCCAATCGAAGCTGGAATCTTGGGGCTTTTGATGTGTAGGTGCCGGTGACTCTGATGGTGGTGCTAGGGAGTTCCATTGACGTTGGAACTCGCCGGAATCAACAAAAGAAATCCGACGTCGCGTAAACTTTAGGTGGATGGCGAGCGACGAAGGCTGGATGACGGCCACTGAAAATGGATGGGTTTGGTCGTGGAGATGCCATCACGTCGAATGGGGGTGTTTTCTCCATCGAACGATGCTGGAATCCGACTGGATGGAGCTGCGATTGGACCGCGATTGGACCGCGACTCGGTAGTATTCCGGCGGTCCAACCGCGGCTCAATCCGGCTTAATGGTAAATGCCGATTTTTACAATATACCAGACTGAAAATACCGTCGATTGTCGATCGAACCGGTTCGACCGGACGGTCTGGTCCGGTTTTTAGAACACTGGTTCATACCCACCATTGCTGTAAAAAAGTGAGTCTTTAACAAAAATGAAAAGAAGAAAAGGAAGAGTTTTCCTTACCTCTTGGTTGCTGGGGATGAACGTTCTGTCGTAACGGCGAGTGCGCATCAACTGGAAGAAGGATGAACTGATTTCTTGAATGCAAAAACTTTGTTTCTCTCTCTGAAAATTTGATTTCTGTGAAAAATGAGGAATGGGCTTAGGGTTTTATAGGAAGGAAGGCGACGTTTTGCTTTCTTTGCAAGCGATGTTTGGGCGAGATGCATTCCTAGCCGTTGGATGTGACCACGTGTCGTCAATCCTCGTGAAAAGTAACCTTCATGCTTCGTGGAGATCAATCGATGTTTCCCTCTGTTAGAGACACCAAACATTGGCGTGGTTATCTCCTCCATATTAAATGCGTCCTCATCCGCATTTAATGCTTTAAAAGAGAATGTCATTTCAGCATCGCTTGCATTTAATGCTCACGGCTGATGCTTATTGCACAAAGACACGTCTGTTAGATAAAACTTATCTTATTGACTAGGCCAGCTATCAAGCGCAACGGATAACATCTGAAGAGGTCATTCGAATGAAACACTCTTCTCCGTGTATCGAGCTTGAAGCGAAGTGATTCCTAGTTTTCGATTAAAAAAATCCTAAGTGTTTTCAGGTCGCAAGCCATGGATAAAGTTCAAAGCACATTGGTATAGCATTGAGCAGGATCTGACCTAGGTCGCTAAACCTTTAAAGGACGATCACCTAAGGTCGCTTGCGCAATTCTCAAAGATCCACATCGCGACCTCCACTCAGTTTGCTAGTCGAGTTAGACCATGAACTCTATGTCATTTCAGCTGTTCTTCGCTTACAATTCGAGCAAGCGTTCCTCAGGACAAGTCAGATCATGGCATAGTCATGAAGTTCTCAAGGTTCAAACCTTGAACCTTAAGAACTAGGGGGCTTCTGTTATACCTAAAAATCAAGGGCTAATGCAAGTTTACGTCAGCGAGGACCAATTAGAGTTCAGGAAGACTTTGTGTCGTCCAAGCGCTGCCACGTCGTCCAAGGACGGAAGGAGTAAAGTTGTCATCAACTTGGCAGGTAAAAATTTGGTTTGTGAGTGGTTGGGAGTCGCCCACCTGCCCAAGCCCTATGCGATTTAAGGATATCTCCTGTACAATCAGCTAATAGGAAGCAGGGTAGGAATTGTACAGCACTTGCCCGCTTACAAATTTATAATCATTACCCATAAATCTCTTTCTATAAATAGAGGGCTCCCCTCCCATTTTCGGGATTCGGATAACAAAAAAACACTCACTCTCCCTCTTTGTATTTCTACTCTCTGATCGCAATACTCGACCAAACTGTAATCTCTCATTTATAAAAGGCAGTGGATGTAGGATTCGCTTTGAGCACCTGAACCACTTTAAAAATCATCTCCCATTTATTTACTTCATTTTCCATTCACAAGTAATTTCTAAGTCAGCTTAGCACTTTGCACGTGCGAATAGTTGGTGTCAAAAATCAACATCAACATGCATAAACCACAATCTCACATGAAAGTGTTTAGTAGAATTACATATCCAACTGAAACCTAGCCAAAGTTACAGATCCAATCAATTAAAATTACGAAAGTAATAATTCAAATTAGGATCATAATTATCACAAATACATGGCTACTTTATTTGATCAAATAGCCAAATCAATAATCATAAATCTATAATTGGGACAATATAATATATCTGCTATGAGTTTTTGCATCAAAAACCCAAATCAATCAAATCATACTCATATAATCAATTAAAATCCTGTGGACTAACTGAAATCATGAGGAAAATTTTGTTAGGGTTTTAATTGATTGTGTGTTCCGACTTCCATTCCATATGTTAGATATATTATGCACCATCCTCGCATCAAATTAAAACACCAAATTGGGTACCTCCTTATTGATAATCCAAATCTGAAGGAAAGTTGTCTACACACATGTTAAAATCAAGGGAAGGTCTTCCTAGCCTACTTCCAACAGTGTAGAATAATTTACAATGGGTCTAATTTTAGGGCATCTCTAACCCAACGCTATTTTGGTGTTCATGAAACTTACCTCCAACCCAGTGCCATTTTCTGCACCAATTTGGTGCCCAGCTATAGTGCCACATCAAATTTGGTGTAGCACTGTTCATGCACACCAATTTGGCGTGGCACTGTTCAAACAGTAAAAAAAAAAATGTTTTTTTTGTTATTTGTATTTAAGTTAATTTGATTATTATTTATATTAATATTTATAATAATAAATTCATAATAATTATGTAATTCAAAAAATGATGAAAAATTAAAAACAAAACTTTATTCAATGCAAATATTAAACTACAATAATTCAAAATAAAAATTAACACTAATTTAAAAACACTAAAATTAAAGGAAAATACAACATAAACTAAAATAACAATTTAGTATTTCGGTATATTAGTTCCGGATCCTCTAAGATCATCAAAATATTGGAAAGAATTAGAGTTATTTTGAGATCCTTGACCTTGTTGTTGAGCTCTTTTTTGTATAATTCTTGATTACTCATTTTGAAAAAACTCACGTAGGCTTGGATTAGTTATGGAATTCAAATCCTTGACTAAAATTTTTTCAAAGTAATTGTTATTTAATAAAAATATCATTCCCAATATTTAATTAATATATACAAAAATAATGAGTAAAATAAATTAATTTTTTATTATTACAATAAAAGAAAAAGAAAGAGATGAATATTCTAAAAAATATTCTTTTTTGTGAAATATTTAGTGTAATGGGTTGGAGATACAATAATATTTTATATTAATTTGGTCTGAAACTTATACCAATTTGGTGCAATGGGTTGTAGATGATCTTATATATAGGAAAAAGAGAAGGGACGTACCCTTATTTAATTGGGATTCTTTTAGAACGCCCTACCTTTCTAATATAAACACTCTTTATTGGGTTCACCCATCACAGAACCCATAACTTGGCCTACACTAAATCACCACATCAAGTTTATATTAGGTTTAAAGCCCATCAGATCCACCAAGCTCCAATCTCATGTTATCATCACAATAATAAATTGAGCTTCCAAGCACTTCAGCCTGGGGGTGAGCCTACCCACAAATTAAAAAAAAAAAAAAAAAAAAAAAAGTTTTCTATGGAAATTCTTCCCTAGAGTCCTTTGAGATTCTACATGTCTTTATTAATTTGACTTTTATGCCCTCACTCTTTCCTCTAATTTAGTCCATATAATATATCAAACAAATCACTATTAATTGTGATTTTTAATTCTCCGACCTGACCTCACTGTCATTTTCTCTTTACTTACTTTTTTGCATTTCATCCCTCTACCTAATTAATTATTAAACAGATTGCCAATTTCCTCTACTAATATAAGATTTTATGTTACAACTTAAACTCCTTTTTAATAGAAATAAAAATTAATAATTTATATAATTATAAACTAATAATCTACTTAATAATTATTATTATCTTTACCTAATTTTAATAAATTTTGAATGATTATATTATACTCTTTCACAAATCTGTCCTCCAACTAATGACAATGACATGACATAATTAAAAAAAAAAAAATCAGATTCTAATTCAATTTGGATTATTCTTTGAACTTTGACTATGACAATCTAATATCAAGAGTAAACGAAATTGTTAACTATTTAATTTTTAAAGAACTTAATCATATAAAATATTATTTTAAAAGCGCATATAACTCAATTCATTTTTCCATTTGGCCCTTGCTTCTCCCCATCCAATTCCATGACAAATTTCCATAAGACATCAATAACATCAATAGGTAAGAGAATAATTTGAATTGAAAGCAAATTAGATCAAGATTTACAGTTTAAGTTTAAGGTTTTTTGCTTTCTTCACATCAAAAGGTTTTTCCATGTAAAAATTTTATTCACAAATTAAAAAAATTTAATTAAGAAAATTCAGGATAAATAAAAAGGCTTCTGAATAGTTATTAAGATTAAAAATATATATTAAAAGGATAAAATAAAGATTTTAATGAGATAAAGTATTTTTATAAAATCAAATCAAATAAAAAAGGGGATTAATATAAAATAAATCAATAAATAGTAAAAATAATAAGGTTTTAGGAAATATTTGAAATAAAGAATTTGATTAAACTTACAGATTGCAGTTAATAAAGAGTTTGAAAAGGGTGGGTTTTTCCGTAATTTGAAACAAATAAAATTAGTCGACCAAATTTATAGCTTTAAAAAAGTAAGAGAAAAAATTAAAAAGGACTTAAGACGTCCTTTTCAAAAGAATTGAAGTACAATAGAAATTTAAAGGGCTAAAATGGTAAGTTACAGAAAGAAAAAAAAAGTAATTTTATAAAATCAAATATAAATCAGAAATTACAAAATTTAGAACTGGAATATTTTCCAATTTGCTAAGATTTTAGAAAATATAAAAATAATGAAAACTATTTTGTATGGAAAAGTCAACACATGCTTAAAGTAGGGGTATTTTCATAAATTTGTGCTCTTTTTATTAATAGAGATTTTTATGCCTAAATGCATGAATAATAATGTATTTACAAACAATGCTATTTTGAGAGGTTTTTATAATTTTATAAAATTTGTGTTAAAATTATTTGGACTTGGGCTTTTAAATCAATATTCGTTGCTTATTAAAAAAAGCTTTATTAGTAGACACTCTTAACCCATCAAAAGTGTCTCATGAAACGACTTTGGCCCGCAATCTCTCGCAAAAGGCTAAGAGAACATTTGTATGAACCTTCATGTGGCCTTGGGCCTTTGTGGGCCTCCTTGATAAAAGTGAGCATTAACAATATTTAATATTTAAATTTAAAATCTGAGATATTAGAAAAGTGAGTTGTTAAACCTCACCGTACATCCAGACCACCTAAAATAATATAATTTAACACATATATCAGACGTGAATTCAACATCAATAATGTTAGCCTTACTCTCTCTTCTTACTCATTTCTCTTACTCACTCATATGGTAAGTGGGTGTAGAGGTAGGCAAAGACCGGTCTCTTGCGGGCCCAGGCCTGACCTATTTGGGACTGGTCCCTTGGGACTAGGACCGGTCCCAGGCCCATGAGAAAAATCAGGACCCGAACCAGGCCCTAAGCCTAATCGGGACTGGTCCTATGGGCCCAGGATTGGTCCCATGGGACTTGGGTAATTTTTTTCCCCCCTCAATTTATTTTATATTTTTGGGGGTAAAACGAAATTTTATAGGGGGTTTTTAGTATTTTTTTAGGGGTAAAATTTATAAAATTTTTAGACCTGGAAGATTTTTTTTCTATAAATTTTATAAAATTTTATTTTAGCCCTCGTAATTTATATTTATTTTAAAATTAACAGGAGGTTTTATGTAATTTGGCAGGAGACTATATTGAAAAAATACAAAATTTTTTGGGCCCAGGCCTGGGATCGGTCCTAGGCCCAGGCCTTAGAGGAGGGCCCAGTGGAGGGCCCGGGCCCTCCTCCTTAGGCCTGGTCCCGTTTTGGGACCAGACCTCCTAGGTCCGGTCCTCTCAAGGAACGGTCCTAGGACCGGTTTTTGGAGCTGGGCTTTTGGGCCCGGTCCCAAATGCCCAGCTCTAGGTGGGTGTAAGAAGGAGTAATACTATTTTTACATCACTCTTTTACACCATATTCATTACATTATGATGTGACATATGCCACAACTACACAAAATTTTAATTATTTTGAATTTTTAATATTATAATAGAATTTATGTGGTTGTGACATATGCCACATCATGAAAATGGTGTAAAAGAGTGGTGTAAATAAAATATTACTCGTATAAGAAGAGAGATAAGGGAGTAAAAATGAAGATTAATATGAGTGAGTAAGAGAAATGAGTAAGAAGGGAGAATATGGCTAGTATTATTCTTAAACGATAGACCTATAACATCAACGAAGACTTACAAAATGACCTTGAGTATAAAGTCATTTGATAGAGTATAAAATTGTCAAATCAAATCCAATAATGGAGTTGTAACGTTACCAAGTAAACATGTTGGAATATCTTCAAGGCATTATAGGGAAAGCCAAAATATAAAATCATTATTTGAAAATATTCATTGAATATAGTAATTAAGATCAAGCTTTTACGAATAAAAGAAAAATAGAATGAAACCCTTACAAAGCTCTTTCCAATTAGTTTGGAGGTGGGAGATTTGAATTTAACCATCTTGAATCTTGGATCGATCAAACAATCAAATGGCTATCCTTTGCTATGGAAGACCCATATACTATCTTCAATCTCATCCATACCATATACAATGTGGCCCATTGGTTTGAATGTAGATCCTAGTTGCCTTCTTACTTACCAATTAAAATCCAACAAATGTACTAACTTTATTGGCCCTTAGTTTAATTGAATAAACCCTCGCTGACATTTCGGTGCCCTGCTTATAAATTAGTTTTAGTTCTGTAAGGTGCTCATCTTTGTCTTTGCTGTGAAATTAAAAATGGATACCAAATTCTATCTTCTGGATTTCGCATACTCAAACTTGCCGAAGTTACATCAGACCGGAATCGGAGCGACCCCGGCTATCGGAAGTTTCCGAATGCGAAAACGTTCCAATTATTGCCTTGGGTTGTGAAGATAGAAGCTTCCTTGTTCAACAAATGCTGAAGCTTGCAGTGTTATGCTTTTTCCAGTTTTTTAATTTCATATTTTTTATAATTGATTTTTATTATTATAACAAATATATAGATAAATCTTGTATATATGTAGGTTATCAATCATGGAGTAGACCGGAAGCAGTTGATAAAATTTTAGAAGTATCCATGATTCTTCAGCTTCCAGTTGAAGAGAAGCTTAAGCTATATTCAGATGACCCATCAAAGACAATGAGACTTTCCACAAGTTTTAATGTGAACAAAGAGAAAGTACACAATTGGAGAGATTATCTAAGACTCCATTGTTATCCACTCCAAAAGTATGTACCTGAATGGCCTTCAAATCCTTCTTCTTTCAAGTAAGTCTTTCTTCTCTTTCTTTCGCAATCAATTACATTATTTACATCTCTTGTTTCTGCTATCACGTGGCATGTTTATCAAACTAATTTAATATATGTTATTTATCTTACCACGTTAGAATAACTTCATATTTATATTTTAAACAATTAATTAGAAATTACAAATAATTTAATTTCTTGTTATTACCAAGTAATCTAAATCATTTAAATACATTTTTTTCTTGGTAAATTTTTTTTTTTTCACAGAAAAGATTCTTGTCCTTCTTAGTATCATAAAAGGGTTAGATTCTTGATGGTACTATGTCGAATAACTGAAAACTGTCTGTTGTATTTATATTTTTAATAATGTTAAGGAGAAAGAATTTTTGTAAAAATGATGCGACAGAAATAATTAAAGTAAATACAAAATACTCTATATATACCTGTTGTGTTTGTTTTTATTATTCAAACCCTATTTTCTATATATTTCAAAATACTGTTTGTTTAATTATTGAGAAATATTATTCTATTTTTAATTATTTTAACCCCTTAAGTTTATTAACTTAATTAAACACCCCTAAAAAAAAAAAGTTTAAAGTTTAACAAAACAACCTTACCCATCCATAGTTTTCATATTCCGGCAACCACCATCGGTGTGGTCGGAATCTGTCACAACGGCCTAAAAACGATCGAAACTGGCCATTTATTCACCGATCTACCGTCAACGACATCCAAGAAATAGCGTCATTGACAATCACACGGCTATATCTTTGGCCATCTCTGACGGCCATATCTGTCTTTTGCGGTCGTCGACGGCCAATTGGCCATAGATCTGGCCTTTTCGGCCAGATCTGTGTGGATCTGGTAGAAAAAGGCCAGATCGACACACCCCACGGCCGATCTGACCGATGTACGTCGTAAGGTAGATTTCGACCAGATTTCGAAGGTGGTGGCCAAATCTGACACTGTGGTGGGTGGGGTGTTTTTGTCATTTTACAAAAAATTATATTGGGGGTGTCTAGTTAAATTAGCAAACCTAGAGAGTTTTTTTTGTTAATTTTTAAATTTTATCTCGTAATACTCATCTTATTCAACTACTTATATTATTTTCAAAATCTTATCCAAAATAACAATAAACGTACCCAAATACACCCGACTGTTCTGTCTATATAAAAAGCTTTTTATCTCTTGTTTATTCGAATTTATTTACACTACAAAATTTGTTACCCTGTGATGAATATAGGCTTAGCTATAGCTATACGTAAAAGACATACAAACTAAAACTTTTTTTTTTTTTTTTTATTTTTTTTATGGGGACTATACATAGTATTACGTGAGCAAGGTGACATCATACAAAAGGAATAGATTCTTATTATGCTTTTGCCTTTCTGGCCAATTTGGCTTCGTGGGGCATAAATTAAGGTGCTATGGTCCTCTATGGGGCATAAACCACGAGGTAATCAATATTCTTTAAAGTCTTGGGTCGTCTTAACGTTTGGTCTCTTTCTATAAATCTTGCTAACTACCCCTGTAGTTTCTCAATTTATTAGCTCCCCTAGGTTTGAAAATTCCCAGCTTTACTTTTGTGTTAAAATAATTATAAAACAGGTTAATTAGTAGTTTTGTCCCAAATTTAGAAATGAAATTATATTAAATTTATGGTTAGTGTTCAGATTAGATTTGAGGTTTGGATTAGGTTTAGGTTCTACCTAAGAGGCGATGAGAAAGGGAATTAGAATTAAAGTTAGGTTAAGATTTGAGTTGAGGTTTGATTTAGTTGGCGCTTATCTGGGAAAAGAGAAAGTCGGTTGCTGAAGAACAAACGAATTAGAATTAAAGTTTGAGTTAGAAGTTAATTTCAGGTTTGGATTTGGTTGGGACTTGGGGTGTATCAAAGGAAAAGAGTAAGCATGATATGAACCTATAATTTTCCTATCCAAAGAATCGATACTCTAAGAAAAATCTAGGCATAATTCTAACATACCTAAAGTCTAGTAATTTAAAATTATTCCCAACCTAATTTATTGGAATTTTTTTTACATATTTAATACTATAAAAAAAAAAAACAAAACACAACTAAGGACTTAGCTTCTTACCAATAGAAGGATTTAGTAGGCAGAGGGGAATAATTTTATTCCACCCCTAATAGCCAAGTCTTAAGTCAATTGTCTCTTGTATTTCTACAAGTCAATACAAGAGACAATTGACTTGTAGAAATTTTGATTGGTAGATAAAGAAATTGATTAGAGTATTAATTTGTACACGTGGTGGGACCCATAAGATATTCATCATTGATACGAGTGGGGTCCTTTATAGTAAAAAAATACCTTTTGGGTTGTCTTTTTTCCAAAATAATCAACGGTCATGATGCATTGATGGAGTACGATCTGAAATCAAAACCATTGTGTACTTTAGAAACAAAAACATAATGCACCCACCATACATTGCATTTAATAAAAGGATGGCCCGGTTCTGCACCACGTGACATCATCGCCTGAAAGCGTGTTTACGTAACCAGATTGAAGCGTGTTTAATGGTCAATTACACCAAATTGCACGAAACTTTTTAAATTTAATAGAAATTTAATAGCTTGCATGCTGCCACGTCTGCGTCATCCTAAAAATACGTCACTTTTAAGTTTTGTCGTAGCGTAAGAGATCTTTAATAATGATGTTTAAAAAAAGGATAACTTTTACTTAAATAAAGAGTATTTTTATTAATTTTTTAATATAAAAAATAAAATTTTTATTCAAATCTAATAGATATTTTAAAGTTTAAAAGAGAAAATATATTTTTTCAAAAAATAAACTTAATAAAATAGATAAAATATAAATAAAATATATAGAAACTTGTAATTTATTATTTAAAATTAGGATAGAGAGTAAAATTTGATTTTCTAAATATAGAGAGTTAAACTCACTCTTTAATTTATATTTAAAAAATAAAGAATTTATTGGACTCTTATTTCTATGGATAAACTCTTTATAATAAAAAGTTTATATCATATAAATAGTCATTTGGAGATGTTTTAAAATTATACGTACACTTGGCTTTCATTTTTTTTACTTTAAATTATATTTTATCTACACTTTTGAAAGTCTAACCTCATCCCTCATCCACACATGACCACTTTCTTTCTTCTCTTTCTCGTTTTTTTTTTTTTTTTTTTACTCTTTTTGAATAGAGTAATACTATTAGAGTTGGAAAAGTAACCCGTCCGGCCTGACCCGCGGCGGGTTGGTCCTAACCCACCCGCCAACAAAGGCAGGTCGGGTTAGGCCCGCCATGTTTACTGGAATGGCTGGCCCAACCCGGCCCGCCAACCCTAACCCTCCGGGTTAGGTTGCGGGTCAGGCCGGGTTAACCCCCTTTTTTTATTTTTTATTTTTTTAAATTTTTAATTTTGTTTTATTTAGTTAACTTTTCAAATAAATAATTAACGATTTATAAATGAATAAGTGTAATTGTTTTTAGTTAANTGCGTCATCCTAAAAATATGTCACTTTTAAGTTTTGTCGTAGTGTATGAGATATTTAATAATACTCTTTAAAAATAAAAAATATTTTTTATATAAATAAAAAATATCTTTATTTATTTTTAAATATAAAGAATAAAATTTTTATTTAAATCTAACAAACATTTTAAATTTTAAGAGAGAAAATATGTTTTTTTAAGAAAAAAACTTAATAGAAGAGATAAAACATAAATAAAATGTATAGAAATTTGTAATTTATTATTTAAAATTAGAATAGAGTGTGAAATTTGACTCTCTAAATATGAAGAGTGAAACTCACTCTTTAATTTATATTTAAAGAATAAAGAGTCGGTTAGACTCTTGTTTCTATAGATAAACTCTTTATAATTAAGAGTTTATGTCATATAAAGAGTCATTTGAAGATGTTTTAAAATTGTACGTACACTTAGCTTTCATTTTTTTTTTACTTTAAAATTTTATTTTATCTACTCTTTTGAAAGTCTAACCTCTTCCCTCATCCACACATGACCACCTTTCTTTCTTCTCTTTCTCTTTATTATTATTATTTTTTTTTTCACTCCTTTTTATTAGAGTAATACTATTCTTATAAAAAAAATTTTACAAAGATTTCCATACAAAATGAAGTGACAAAAAATGAATGAAAGAATGAAACAAAAATTTATTTTTTCATTCATTTTTTACCATCTCACTTTATATAAAAATCTTTATAAGATTTCTTTGTAAGTATAGTATTATTATTTTTAATATTATATTAAAAAATAAATTGATAATTTCTTTATTTCAATCCTCACCTACAATGAATTTTTAATTAAACACTGATTTTAGAATTTATTATATCAAATTATTTTTTTATAATTTATTTTTAGAATTAATTAAATATAATACTAATATTTATTTGAATTGACTTTCAATACCATATTCATTACATGTATTCATATCCCATCTAATTCCGAGTTAAACAAAGATAGATCGACAAATTTTGAGTAAATCCCTATGTTTGAGGAATTATGAAAGCACCTACTGCTTTTAGAAGTAAGACCTTAGCCCTATTTTGTCCAATTTCATTAATTAAAATTTGTTAAAACGTGAAAAGACGATTTTTACCATTTACCAAACTAACATAAATACCCCCTAATCGCCCAACCAGCTTCTAGTGCCTATGTCGTCACCTGCAACGGCCTTGTGGCGCAGCTAGAGGCTATTGCCTCGTAGCACCCGCCTAGGTCGGATCTGGCCCTTGAAGGCAGTGTTGAGGCCAAATTTGGTTTTGGAGTTGGTAGAGGCAATAACCAACGCCTTTTTTCAATTACCCAAAAAAAAAAAAAAAAAACACCAACGCCTTTTTTTTTTTTTAATAATTAAATAGTTTATGAAAATGGTGAAAATAATTAAATAAGATTAGAAGTTATTCAGGCGCTAGAAAGTGCATGATCGGGTCTAGGAGAGTGGAAGAAGGGAATGAAAGGGATATAACTGTAAAAAAAATTGCGATTTGACGAACCACATTGAGGTCCCTTTGGTATGACTTATTCGAATATGGATTATATAAGAAGAGCTTATTAGAGTTTATAAAAATATAACTTTTATGAAAAAGTTGTTAGTCGTCAGCTTAGGAAAATTTAAAACAACTTTTTAGTATTAATTTATCAAAACAGCTTTAATATACATGAATAAATCCAGTCAAATTTATAAAAAATAATAAGGATATTTTTTAAATTTTAATGCTTTGAATCTGTGTTTTAAAACTCAGACCGACCAGTTTAACCAATCAAATCGTCAATCTGTGCCTAAGTCGGTCCGATTAGCGTCGAAAATCGGAATTGTAACTAACCCATTTTGAAATACGGTTGGACCGATGTTACTGTAACAAATCACTGGTCCAACCAGTTTTTTGCCAAACCAAGTTAACTCAAATTCCCAAATTTCTATGAGTTTCAATAAGAGGAGAGGTGTCATCGACCAGGAAAACACAACAACACACAATTAAAACAAGCACTAGGTAACCAGGAAGCCAAAACCAATAAAAAAATTAGTTGAAAATCCGATAAATCCCACACCAAAAAAATTCAAATTGCCGCGGCTGGAAGGTGGCTCTCAGTTGGCGTTCGACGGGCAAACAAGAATCGATGTTAGGGGGGTTTCGAAGGGTGGATCAAGGTGAGTTGGGAAGTGGTGTCAGATTGAGTTTTGGTCGCCAAAATCACCAAAATTTGGCCAAAAAACAGCGAAACCCTAGCTTGTGATTGCCAGCGTTTGGTGGGTGGAATGGCTTGGGAACTTTAGGGGTTTTGTAGGGGAGTAGCTCATGAGTCTAAGGGTTGTGGTGGTTGGGGTTGTTGTCGCTCAAAATGGCTAGAAACTAGCAAAGGACAATTGCTCGATGCGGTTCTCATGGTCGGCAATCAATGAGTGATGAGAGGGGATAAAAGGTATGGTTTTAAAGAGAAGAGGGTGTGGGTTCAATGGTGGTGATAAGGGTGATTTTGGGTGAGAAAATAGTCGAAAAAAAGGGAAAAGGTCGGCGTTGCAATCTGGCCAAACGAATAAGAGATGAAGAGAAACAGGGGGAGAAAAAGAGAAGAGGAAAGGAAAAGAGAAAAAAAAAAAGTGTAGATGCTATAGGGGTGTGTTTGCTTTATTTCAAACCTATAGGGACTAATGGAATTTTTAGGGATGTGTTTGTTGGATTTCAAACGGCAGGGACTAATAAATTTTTTAGGGATGTGTTTGATGTACACCGGTTAGACTAGTCGGTCAACCCGAGAACTGACCCCTTGATCGGGCTGATTAGCGATTTGATCAGATTGGTCAATCCAAGAACCGACCCCTTGGTTGGGTTGAGCAATGGTGTGGTTTTTAAAACATTGCTTTGAATAAGCTTAAAAATAGCTTATGGGATTTTGAGTTTCTCCCGTGAAATAGCTTATTTTGAATCCAATAAACACTGTGAAATGCAATCAAAAAACCTAATTTTTTATTTTTATTTTTATTTTATTTATTTTATTTATTATTATTTTTTTAAAGTGCTTATAGCCTTAACTGAGCTCTTCTAGCAAATTGAAAACTAAACAAGCTTTAATTAATGTGTGCATTTTTTTTTTTCCATTTTGTTCTCTTATATTGTTTGGGTTTTTTGTTACCTCCGACCAAGTACTAAATGTACTAATTTTGTTACACTAATATATAAAATAATTATAAGTGTAACGGTGTTGAATGGTTTGACCGGCAGAACAACTTATAAATCATGTAAAAAAATATGTTTATTTTAATATCAATGTGCTTATTGCTCAGCTTATTTGACTTGCTTGGAACTTAGATGACGATGATAATGAATAATTACAAAAGTGAAGAAAAAGTAGATGTTAATGTACAATTAATCTTTGAGATAAAAGTCATATCGGCTTCCTTCTTGATATTGATTTGTTTAGCTACTTCTAGATGGATTTATACATTATTGTCAAACTTTTAAACATTATTTATTTGGTCATCCCCACTATCGTCATCTTATCATTACAATATATAGGTGGTTTTAACCGGTGATTTTAAGGCAAATATTATATAATTTTATAACTATTCAAAATCTAATCATTTCAATATACTAAAAATAAAATACATCAATAATTATGGACTGACCCACATAGTAATGAGTGAGGGCTGGTGTGACTTTGCTCAATTTTTTTTTCATTCTTTTGATTTTGTTTTTTTTGTATTGACCACTCTATATTTGTATTAATTAAATTTGATTTCATTCATTTACTTTTCCTTTATTTTATTTTATATTATTTTAAATTTGTTTACTCTAAAATTAATTTCTGGGTCTATCTTTATCAATAATTAAAGTAGTTGTTTTATAATGAATCTAAAGTATAACTCAAAAGAACATATTAGTTCACAATTCTTTGATATTTATCATTATTTTCGTCATTTGTTTCTGATGGTAAATTGTGTTGCATAAATTGTTAGGGAAATTGTAAGCAATTACTGTAAAGAAGTTCGAGAACTTGGATTGAGATTGGAGGAATTAATATCAGAGAGCTTAGGTTTGGAAAAAGGATACATAAAAAAAGTGTTGGGTGAACAAGGGCAACATATGGCTGTGAACTATTACCCACCATGTCCAGAGCCAGAGCTCACTTATGGGTTGCCTGGCCATACTGATCCAAATGCTCTTACCATTTTACTTCAAGATTTACAAGTTACTGGCCTTCAGGTTCTCAAAGATGGTAAATGGCTTGCTGTTAAACCCCACCCAAATGCTTTTGTCATTAACATTGGTGATCAATTTCAGGTACTGTTTCAACTTAAATTTAGATTTATATTAATTTTCATAAGTCAATGGTGGATTTCAAGCTACTGGAATTATTGATGCAGGCATTAAGTAATGGGAGGTATAAAAGTGTGTGGCATCGTGCTATTGTGAATGCTGACAAGGCAAGGATGTCAGTTGCTTCGTTTCTATGCCCAAGTGATGATGCAATTATCAGTGCTCCAAAATCTCTTTCTGGGGATGATGCCCCTGCAACTGTTTACAGAGATTTCACGTATGCAGAATATTACAAAAAATTTTGGAGCAGAAACTTAGATCAAGAACACTGTTTGGAGCTTTTCAAGAACTAACTGGTATTTGTAACACCCTGACTCACTGTCAAGATATTATGAATTTATCTATTATCCACCTCAAATGGTGAGGCTTTGAGTACGTTTACTCTTGATTCATTTTCAATGATGAAGTCATGAGTTAAACCTCACTATTTGAGGTAAGTAAGAGACACAATTCAACAATATCTTAACATTAGGCCGGGGTGCTAAAGTGTATCTATCATTTGTTGTTATGCATGTATTAAACATTTTGATATTGTGTTTGAACTTGAACTTCCTACATTGTTATATTATTTGTGGTATTGTTGTAATAAAATTTTTCAGGAACATCAAGAAAGGTTAGTTTTACCTATGTAATCCTTGTTTTGAATAAAATTCGACAAGTGTACGAATGTATTGGAGTATAAGCCAACATGGATTGATTATTAATAGAAAACTTAGTTAACTAAACTAAATCTATTACGAACCCAGTTCATAAAAACTAATTAAATAAATTAAATTATTGACATTAAATCTAAATCTAAAAAATTAAATTAAACAACTCTAATTAATTAAAATCAAGGACACAATTAAAAAGCAAATTAAGACATTAAATCCGCCTATCTTTAACTCTTAATTTTTCAAGTATGACTTATTTCCCAATTTTAATTGACGGACAATGAAGAAATCAATCCACTGTCTCATATGAATATTTTATTTAAGCACAATTTAATAATCTTATGTAATTCCTCTTTTGCCTAAGAAATGATTTATAAAACATTCATTGTATCCAAATTAATGAAATTAGATATAACATGCTTAAACAAGACTCAATTAATCAAATAATTTTAACTTTTAATAATACATGATATTAAAGAGTAAAGAATTTTTTTCAAATTAACGGGGAAGCAAGAACATTAATCTTTAATAGCATAAATAAGATAACAAAATCTCATCACACATAGGTGTCATCAGCCTTCATCTAAGAATTACTGAACGACATATTAAACTAGAAACAAAATTAAAACGTTGAACCGAAAGCATGTAGAGAACTCTCTCACCAAGTCTTCAGTCTCCAGGATGCGACTCTCTCTCAATAATCTTTAAATAGGCTAGGGTAAAATAAATTTTTTTCCTTATCAAAATAAGGATTCTATTTCATTAATTTTCCTTTTACCATTGTAATAAGGATGGGTCGCACATCATTAAATGCAAGAGTTGCTTTCTCCCATCCCATTCCTTACCGTGTAAGCACTTGAAAGTTTCCGGCAAATTTTACTTTGGTCCCTTTGTTTAATTGTTGGCTAAGGGGCTTTAATCTTTAATCAATTGTGTTGGGCCAAATACAACTTAATTTCTCATCTTGAAATTGGATTGAAAGCTTTTTCCCAAACTTTGACATTTAATTCACGTAAAACAAAAATAATCTTTAAAATAACTAATAAAATAGACCCAGCAGTAACCCACAGGCCTTGTAAACTTAATCAACTGAAAATTTACTTGCTTATGAGAGCTCTTATTAGTTGTGTTGTCGAATAAAAAATTCAAACACAGAGATGTCTCCACCTATGCACAATTGATCAAACACACACTTTTAGGAAATAGAAAAACCAAAGAAACTGCAAACCTTTGCGCCTCTACTGACAACATTCCATAAGACAAAATTGTATTGGCACAACCATCTAGGTCATTGTAATAAGAGCCATAAACTTCCATTTGCCAATCTACTGTCAAAAGTCGTGGATCGCTTGATCTTGTTCACACATATGTTTGGGGACCAGCTCCTGTTTTTTTTCAAAGGATGGTTTTAGCTATTACGTAATTTTTGTTTTTCATTTTATGAAATATCTTTGATTGTTTCCGTTGCGTTAAATATCTGATGCTACATTCACCAAATTCATCACTATTTATTCAAATGATGGTGGAGAGTTCCAAGAACTCAAAAAATTATTGGAACAAAATGGAATCCAACACCTCCACACACTTCCTGATCACAATGGCTCGATCTGTAGAAAGAAGACATAGACATCTTGCTGTAACTAGTCTTGCTCTACTTCACACTACTTCTCTCCCTCTCTTATTTTGGTCATATGCTTTCAAACCAACTTTTTACCTTATAAATCGTCTTCCCTCACCTGTCGTACAAAACAAAACACCTTTCCATGTTTCAATTATTACAAAATGATCAAAACTTCACACCATTGGACGCTTTCCATGGCTAAAACCATACGGCAAACCCAAGTTTAAGTCTTGTATCATTCTAGGATATTCCACTGATCAAAGTGCTTATTGAAAGTATTGTGAAGCCAAACGACGCCGTTCGCTTCTAAATTAAGTGAGTGAATTCTAACCATCAGATCAAGACAGATCCAATGGCTCATATTTGCTGATATTCGTTGATATAAAAGAGGGCAAAAATCAGTGTAAGGGTTATAGGGTTTTAGTTTGAATAGTTAGGGTTCTTCTTTGTTGTATGAGCAATTGATTTGGGGTTTATTCACTGATGTCTTTCTCCTTGTAATCTAGGCAGATTGTGAGAGGGTTGTGTTTCCTTCTTGAGGCTAGGTTAGTCCTTTGGTTTCTTGCAGATTAGGGAGAGTTCTTTGAGTGATTAGGCCTGGGTAAAGTGTTGTTCTGATTCGACAGATTGTGTGTGTAATCTTCTTGTAATTGTTGGATAATTCTAGTGCAGTGAGTCTCCATATTTCGGGGCTCAACGTGGATGTAATCTATCTGATATTGGATAGGTGAACCACGATAAATCTTGCCTTGTTTGTGTGTGTGTTTGATTTGTTCTTGAATCTTGTTTGTGTTTGGATTGGACTGCGTATTGATCAATTTAGGCTCAGGTTATAACAGTGGTATTAGAGCCAAAGTCCTAAGGTGTATCTAGGTTAAAGATCGACTAATTCGTGACAAATTGGAGATTTAGGGTTTGTCAGAATTGGGGGTTTTTTGATTTAAAGTTTCTCTAGATCATTAGGACATCGAATCTTGCTGAGTCTTAGGTTAATTCGTGAGATTAAGTCACAAACACAAGGGATCGATTAATTCGTGACAAAATTGAAAAATTAGGGTTTGTCAGGATTTGGGGGTTTTTCGATTAAGAGGTTTTTCAGATCTTTAGGGCTTCGAATCTTTTTGAATTCGATTGAATTCGTGAGTTTGAGTCACAAATACGAGTCCGAGAGAGAAATCTTGGTTGTTGTCTAGGTTTATTGTCAATGTTACAGAATCATGAGTGCTACTCATATGGAGATCTCCCAATACGATGGGAAGATCGATTTCAACACATGGAAAAAGAAGATGAAGGCCCTCCTTTCCCACAATAAGGTAGGGCTTGCTCTGGAAAAGGACACCACCAAGTGGTCAGAGGAGAAATTGAAGAAAAAATCTGAAGTTGACGAGGAGGCCTATAATCTGATCATAATGAACCTGTCCGATGCTATCCTGCGGAAGGTAGACGGCATGGAAACACCGCTCACACTTTGTGGTAAACTCGAATCCCTATATTCTTTACAGTCTGCACCTAATCTAGCATTTCTTAAAGGTGCTTTATTCTCTTATAAGATGGATGTTACTAAGTCTGTAGAAGAAAACCTTGATGAGTTTCTTAAGATGACATTCTTGTTGAAAGGTACTGATTAGGAGTTAGGAGACTCTAGTTTAGCGATGATACTTTTGAATTCATTGCCTGATGAGTATTTAGTGGTGAAAAATGCTTTACAATACACTGGGATAGTTCCTAGTGTTGACCTGATTATAGTTGGCCTGAAATCTAGAGAATTAGAGTTGAAAATCCAGAAAGAAACGGAAATAATTTGTTTGTCAAAAGTAGGACAGATCCTGTACAACTAGGAAGGGATAGTAGTAAGAACTTCCAACAACACATGAACTCTAAGACTAAGAAGAAATGGAAGAATAACAAGTCTAAGGGAGAAACTAGGAAGTGCTTTCACTGTAATAAACCAGGCCATCTTAAGAAGAACTGCTATGATTGGATAAAGAAACAAAAACAACACAATACAGAGAGTAATTTAGCCAGCACTAGTACTGTTATTGAAATTTTAGAAGCTCTCACTGTCTCAAACCAAGCTAGCAGTAAGGAATGGGTCCTAGATTCAGGATGCACCTTTCATATGAGCCCAAACATTCAATGGTTCCAAAACCTTAGGAAAGGAGAGTTAGAAACTGTATTCATGGGTAACAATCACTCTTGTAAGGTTCAAGGTATAGGAAACATAACCATTAGGTTAAATAATGGTAAAATCATAATGTTAACCAGAGTAAGGTACATACCTGACCTTAAACAAAACTTGATTTCGTTAGGAATATTGGATGAAGCTGGATGTAGTTACAAGGCAGAAAAGGGGTCCATAGTAGTTTATAAAAATAATGAAATTTGGCTTGAAGGAGTCAAACAAAATGGACTGTACATCCTATGTGGTCAACATTGTGTATTCATTATTAATTCTGCTTTATTACTACTAATATGACTGCTGCAGAGAAATGGCATTTGAGACTTGACCACATAGGCCAAGAAGGTATGATAGTGTTAAGCCAGCAAGACTATTTTGGTAAGGAATCCATATCTAAATTAAGTTTCTGTGAAGTTTGTGTATTGCGTAAACATCACTGAATGAGTTTCCAAAAGGGAACTCATCTTGCTGAAAAAGGTTTGGATTATGTGCATGCGGACCTTTGGGGTCCTGAAAGGGTTAAGACACATGGAGGGAATTGCTATTTCCTCTCCATTATGGATGATTATAGTAGGAAGGTATGGGTTTACCTTTAACTAAGTTTAAAGGCTGGAAAAACTTGGTTGAAAACCAAGTCAATAGGAAGTTGAAAACCCTTAAGATAGACAACGGTTTAGAATTTTGCAACCTGGAGTTTGACTCTTACTATGTAGAAAAAGGAATTTTGAGGCATAAGACAATTAGGGGGACCCCTCAGTAGAATGGGGTCGTTGAGAGAATGAATAGAACCCTACTAGAGAGGGTTAGATGCCTTTTATTCATGGCTGGTCTACCAAAAATCTTTTGGGGGGAAGCACTAGGTACAACAACCTATCTAATAAATAGAAGTCCTTCAAGCTTCATAGACTTTAAGTGCCCTAAAGAGAGATGGTCTGGGAGGAGACCATCTCTTGAACACCTAAGAGTATTTGGATGTGCTGCATATGCACATACTCGAGATGGAAAGTTAGAGCCAAGATCTCTTAAGTGCGTATTTCTAGGGTATCAAGAGAGAACCAAGGGGTTATAGGCTATGGGAAAGGGCTGCCCCAAGGGTTAGAGTAATTGTTAGTCGAGATGTGATTTTCAATGAAGCCATTTTTCCTTGCAAATCTGGTACTGATAATGCAGG